GAAGAAAATGGCACTATGGCCAAATCTGTCACTTATTGCTTCATGACTGGGGAAGAAGGCAATAGATAAGGAAATAAAACTGTTGCAGAACATTTCCAGAGGAAAAGACTAAGCAGAAAAACAAGAGTGCTATTATTAAGCATTGGTGACCTGGCCTAAAGCTACATTCCTTCACAACCTTGTGATCCACTAGGCGTCTTAAAGGTGATCCACATCTTAAGAAAATACATTTCTCTCTTTCCTCTGACACAATTTCAGTTCCAGTGTCTTCTGCCTCAAACAAGCAACTTTCTGACAGGAAGTCTTTTGCCCTCCTGTTTTATGCAGTTAGTTGCATTTATTATATGTCACGTTTCTATGAATATTAGCATCAGTGAGAATGCAAATAAACCAAACTAAATATGATTTGTTAGACATATACATCAATTTACCTATAGTCAGCTTATACGTATTCATAGAAACCACGGTCACGGTGCTGAGACTGAGTGTGGCATATATAAGGAGAAAAGGAATCATGCTTCTTTATGATAAGCTATGTTAGCAGTTTCAATTTCAATTTACCAGGGGAGTAAACTTTATCCAATCGTCCCACGTAAACATTTTAAGTATTAGCTTGTTAAACACTATAAACCTTCACCCAATCTTTCAATCATACGTAACAAAAACAACCAATAAAAACAAAGAAATCCCCGTCACATACACTTTAAAGAGCTAAACTTAAACTGCAAGTGCCCATATGTAGTGCAAGATGCTATCTAAGCTAACGGTGAGCTAACCCCACAGCGATCGTGTAAACGTTATTAAAGACCAGTTTTAGCCTTAAGTAGCCATTATTTGCCACATCACTTACCTTACGACTCCGCGTAGTCGTCTCTATTACAAACATAACTTTGTAAAGTCCATTGAGGCACAGCTCAGGCATAAATTATAGACTATAAACCACGGCAGTATAAACCCGGCAGCTTCCGTTTCTCTGCCAAAGGCCGACCCACAGTGGCGTTGGATCAGATTGACGCTCAACTGAACATATGACAGCAATATGAATTTCTATCAAATATAACTTACTTTGCTATTAAATAAGCACGCATGAGTAAAAGGTTGCATACAATTAAATACACTTGCAATTATAATGTTTTAATTTAATATGTCATGAAACAGCTAAAAGGTTTATTCACAAATCTTTAATGCAATACTTTCTACCGGTGACTAGACCCATTTACTTGCTGTGTTACAACAAAAACCTAACTCTAACTGTATTCTAATTCTAACTATATTTAATTTAGCAGCCCCCATCTATATTAGAATCTGTAGAAATGGCCCTGACTCAAAGTGCATGTTCACAGGTAAGCAAAACAAATGCCAACGAAATAAACTATGATACAGATACTGACTAAATAAAATCTTGCAACAATTACTACATTTATTATACAACCAATCAATCAAATCAGAGAAATAAATAAACAGCCTATACCATACACTCTATACCTCAAACAACTTAGTAGTCTACTAACTACCATTGTAGACTCACCTGTTTCACTGTGATTTAAGCAGTCTTGTCAAATTTGAATAAAGTTAAAGCAAAAATAAAATAAAAAAGGAATAAATTAAATGGAATATGAGTTCATGTTGAAAATGCATTCTTTCTGTGGGGTCTCTTGACTCTTGGGAGGAATCTCACCCTCATGCAATCACATGAGTGGAGTGTGACAACCCAGTGAATAATCCAAGCAAAAAGTAGGCCTATACTACAGAAACATAACATTACAGCACTCTCTTGCAAAATGAAACTTCATCAGAAGCAAACACACAAGTAATTAAACATTTATGAACACATTTTTATTTTTTGAAAATATTTTTCAGAATCATCAGTCATTGTGAATGACTTGGTCCAGAAGAGTCTGTAATGCCCTAATACATATAGACTTTGACTTTATGAACCTCACTTTCTTGGCACTCTCTTTTTTTACTGTAATAATAAAAGGTATTATCCCGACGCTGAAGTTTCTTTACAAATCCAGTTTCTGGCCATTTGTCAATCTGAAGATAAATAAAACAGTATAAAAAGTAAACAATGCATAAGCAATAATAGCACGTTTGCTAAATACAAAGAGAAATGTAAAGCAAATAACTCACCATGGCACCTTGTTTGACCTGCAAGTACTCCAGCTCATCTCTGTAGCCTGCTTGCTGAAACCTGAAAAGGTTCTCGACTTCTGTTGTCCATCTTTGTGCTCTACTCATAGACTTTGGCTTGGTCCAGGACATAGTGATGCTAAAATCTAAAAAAAGAAACAAACAAGCAGAGATATATTAGGCGAAGGCTAACTTCAACGACAGAACCTCTGATACCCTATCTATCTATTGTTACTGTAAGAGATCCATGCTGATACCAGTGGTTAGCAGGGCATTTACAATTTAACCATATGTTACAGGCTAACGGTGCATTAACACATGTACTAAAGTTATCAAAGAAAAAATATGTCCAAACTACATTTCGATTCTTGGCAAAATAATGCATTAACCACAATACACATCCAACCCACCGTTGTTATCTTTCTTTTTTAAATTTAGCTTCCCGTACTCTCGAGTTTGTGTTAGCTTGGCGATAGCTTCCCTGGTTGCCTAGCAACTGTTTTTATTGGAGCACGTGTCCGTGGCGCTTTAGTGGTTATAGATCATGATGGAGTTGAGGATCAGAATGGAGGGGAAATTAATTACGTTAATTTTGTGGTGAAACGCATGATGACCTAACTATGAGTACCATAATATACTAGACATTTCAAGAGTTCAACATGAAAGCAGAAAACAAAATTATTTCTTTAGGGCACAAAGCGCGGTGATGGTAAAAGTAATTTCCCTTATGGATCAATAAAGTCTGTCTAAAGTCTTAAGTCTAAGTATATAAGTGGATCCTCTTGCCATTGATTGAACACTGGAGGGCGACACAGCGTAAATTGGCACCTTGTAACCAAATTCAGATAAAGAAGAAGAAGTTATGTGGGCGGGACGACCAAAAATGAAAACATCAGAGAACTCAAAAACATGCTCTAAAATGCTGAAATTGCATTCTCTAAATAATTTCAGATGACATTTAGGCATATAATAGAAAGGCAAAGATGAGTTCGTTTGCAGGTCGAATGAAAGAATATTCGAAAATTTCTTTGGATAGGTTTGATCGGGAGAATATACATGCCCGGGCATATTTCCTCTCCCACTGCCATAAAGGTAAGGCTAGCACATCCAGGACCAGAATGACAATATTCACACTAAAAACGGTTTCAAACAGATCATATGAAAGGACTCAAAGGACCACTGCTCAAGAGAAAGCTACAGTCTAGGTAAGATAAATTCTAAATCATTAAACCAGAAAAGCTGGAGTTAAAAGAGCGTTCATTGTAAATGTGTTGCATTTTTGTTTCTAGTCGCACAGTCCGGCTGTACTGCTCATTTGTGACCAAGGAACTTTTATTGAGCAATCCAAAATATTCATTTTGGGAGGACTATATTGTAAGACTGTTGTATTGTTGTCATTTATGTGTTGGAAAAAAAAAAAGAATAAATAAATTATTGTGTTACAGGTACCTTTGGAGTTGGAAAGTCCAACTCAAATTTCCTTAGTGGATGAAGCATCAGGGGAGGTAAATCCTATATAATACCAAAAAAAAAAAAAAAAAAAGCATTACTAATAATAATGTGTTTACTTTATTTTTATGACAATGCCTTGGACTTATGACTGATATTTAAAAAAAACATTTTGCACAACAGAAAGAAGACATTGTGGTAACATTGCTTCCTGCTGGTCACTGTCCTGGCTCTGTCATGTGAGTGTTTTTATCATTTTTTTTTTAAAATGGGCTGTCATTTGAAAACCCTTTTAACATCACTTTTTTGGATAGGTTCCTTTTTGAAGGTTGCCAAGGAAATGTATTATACACAGGGGACTTCAGGTTAGCAATAGGAGATGCTTCAAGGATTGAATATTTGCATTCTGGCAGTAGGTCAGTGATCGTCATTTTTCAGTTATTTATGGAGGACTTGATAATCACAATATAAATGTAAAATGTACTATAGTATATCAGCTTTAATGATAACTAATAATACCAAATTGTATTTTATTTAACCATAATAATATCTTTCCACCCATATTTTACAGGGTCAAAGAGATCCAGAGTGTATATGTGGATTCTACTTTTTATGACCCACGATACTATCAAATCCCATCACGGGTAGTTATTTTTTTGTTTATTTTGTTTTTTGACCATGATACCATGATGGCGTAAAAATACTGAGGACTATTGTTAAACTAGTTTTACAAATGTGATATAAACGTTTGCTTCTTTAGGATGTCTGCCTGAATGGTATTTTAGAGCTGGTTGGAAACTGGATCAGTCAAAGTCCATATCATGTTGTGTGGCTTAACTGTAAAGCTGCTTATGGATATGAATATCTATTCACCAACTTGGGGGAGGAGTTCAAAACCCAGGTTACACATCGATACATAGTATTTGAAAGTGAAATTGATATGAATTATTATTCCTTCTTATTCATGATACTACTTTTAAAATATAATACTACTAGTGTACTGATTTCTTTTTAGATCCATATCAACAATTTAGCAATGTTTAAAAAAATGCCTGAAATACTCAACTATGTGACCACTGACACCAAGACTCAAATCCATGCCTGTCGACACCCAAAGGTATACATATTAAATGAATAATAATAACATTTTCACATACATATGTCAAATATTTAATAAGTCATGTTGACAGTGTATGGCAAGTTTTTATTCACAAACCCTGTGTATGTGCATGTGTGTTTTGTATGAAGGATGAGGAGTTTTTTCAAGGGAACCGCTTGCCCTGTGGATGCACAGCTGCTGATGGAACTCCCCTCCAGATCATAAGCATCAAACCGTCAACCATTTGGTTTGGAGAAAGGAGCAAAAAAACAAATGTTATAATAAAGTAAACGTTCAGGGCTCAGATAGAATGTTATGTGTCCACACACGACTGTGTTAAATAGTCTTTGGTGTTATCCACAGAACGGGAGCTAGTTCTTTCAGAGCCTGTTTCAGTTTCCATTCTTCATATTCTGAGGTCATTATATTTACACATTAAGTGCCTTGCATTTGTATTTATCGTTGTCATTATTGTTTTTTAAATTTTATTTTATTTACTTGCAGATTAAGGAATTCTTACTGTATCTCAAACCAATCAATATCTATCCTAATGTCATTCCTATTGGCAAGACACTGACTGAGGTCACCCACTTGTGAGTGACAGGATTTCATTTGTCTTAAAAGAATAGAATACAGTACAATTAATAATATATTTTACATATTTTGTGCAGGTTGAATCAAATGTGCCGACAGCAGTCGAATCCTGAGGCATTTATATACAAGCCTTTGGGTGTTCTCAAACGCACTAGAATGGAACAGGCTTTCTGTGGTGAGACATATGACCCAAATACATTTGTGTGTGTGTTTCAGTTTTTTACTTACTTTTTTCCTTACATTTTCACTTAACTTGTTTAGATTCAGACAATGATGATGGCTTGTTTGATGGACTAGACCTGGCTCCAGTGAGAAAGAAAACACCCATGCAGCCAGAAATATTCCATGGTAACATTTTATTATTGTATTCTTACAGAAAGAGCTAAACTTAAGTAATGTACAATTGCAAATCTGATCTGCTGCTCACAGATAAAAACTCTGTAATACAACAAACTGAGAACACTTATGAGTCTGTTACTGAAGACAAGTTGCTGTCACATAACTACCTTGATTGCACTGAGTCCAATAGTGAAGAAGAGGGTGATGAGGAAGAAGAGGAGGACGTAGGAAAGGGCGACATGTCCCTTGTAATGGAGGAAGTCAAATTAGAGGAGAAAAAGGACCAAATATCTTCACATGATCCTCCAAAATGGGAGGACTTTTATACCTCAAGTTTGCTGACTGACAGCCAGTTAAGCCAGTCACAGTCTGGCTGCTCATCTTCCACTCGATTGTCAGATTCACAAACACCTGAATTGTTCAGTGACGAAACTGATGAAGAACAAACGTCAGACTCCAGTGAAAGCCAAGAGAGTCTATCAGCATCTATGTCCAATCACTCATCACAGAACCAGAATTCAACTGTATCTGACACAGTAATTCTGCAGCCAGGCCAAAGTCACCTCATATTCACAGAGACTGAGACTGAGATCCACCGGGACTCGATGGACCTTCCAGACTCACAAACCTCATCAGACTTCGACATTCCTTGCACACCGGATTCCAAGATACCAGGGTCTCAAGAGCTGCGAGAGCTGTACAGGAAGCTAGCCTCCGGAGAAGATGTGTTACGTCAGAAATGAACTCACAATACAAACCAAAGCATGCAGTTTTATACTCAGCCACATACATTCTTTATGGTCTATATTTTGGCTACAATATGTTTATCATTAATACTGTATAAATTCAAGAACATTTTCACTGTGTTAGAACTGCTATTTGCAGTGGTCTTTGTTGGAGAGAGTGACACATCCTCAAAAAACAAAACAAAAAGTTTTACACATGCATCATTCCATTCCGTTCCATTTTAAAGCATGCCTTCATTTAAACTGTTCAGACCTTGGTGTATAAAGAAACTATGCATTTTATGTTCTACTACACCTGCTCTGTTTGTGGTGCATCTGTGCATGTCAGTTGAGGGCAGTGGTTTGCTTTGTAAGGAGGTCAACTGAAGGTGAGAACCATATGATCTGTTAAGGCAGTTCTGTAGATTTTTTTTTTCATTATCATTATAAATTTAGTTGTTTAAATACACCTTATGATTTTAATAAAAGACTACTATTGTGTTCACTCTGGGGGGAAAAAAAAAGTAAAATCACAAGCCTACATAAAACATGTATTTAAGATATTAAAATGATAGACCCCATCAGGTGTAATCCCCCACATTTAAATTTAGAAGGACAAGGTTCTTATTAATAATTAGCATACAGATTAGTAAAGTGTTATGTCTATAAGACAAAAATTTGAACATTAAAAACAGTTAATGCACAGGTTACTACTCAAAATTCTGAAACCTTTTCTACATGTCCACCTCACAGGAGATGACAATCTGCTCATGTCATCTCTGCTGGAGCTGCTGACTGAAAGACAGAATCTGCAGCTCATATTTTGAACCTCTGAATTTCACTTTTACTGTCCACTATTGCATGTCATATCTGACATGATGCTTTTGCTATCGTAGGTCTACACTTTCATATTGTAATTAATGGGAGCTAAATATAGCGCTAGTGGTGTCTGATTCTTTCAATAGCAAACAAGTATATGAGCAGTCTATTGGTTCAGTCGTCACAGGCTCCACAGCGGGTTAGGCAAAAGCTAAGTGATCCCATCACAGTCCTTGCAGGGGATGCTAAAGGAGAAGATTGACTCCAGTGGGAGCAGGGTGCTTCTCATTTGAGGCTTGGCAGGTGTCTTGTTTTATGCAATCACCATTTCCTCCAGACATCTCTTGTTTCAGACGAAGAAGTGAACATATAAAAATCTGGTTGAAAACAAGCTTTCTTAATTGTATATTAAATAATGATAATAAAAACAAAACAATGTAATAATATTTATCTTGAAAAATAAAGAGAATATAAAACCATTTTGATCACTGAACAAGAGATGGTAAAAGTAAGAAGCATATACAGACCTGGTTCATTAAAATTAGAGTCCATTTCCCCACAGTGGCTTCCTGAGGGAGGCTGAGTCTCGCTCACTCTCTGTGGATAACAATCCCATTAATTAACTCACAAACCTCAACAAAAACTCTTGAAACAACACCTATATGTAATCCTGACAAAACAAATTCCATACTCAAGACTGCCAGATGTATACATTTCCACACACATTAAGCATGGAGTCACAGCAGAGAGGATGATTCTTCTGCCATGCTCTCCTGACCCTGAGGACTCCAAAGGAAATGAACAGGTGTGTACATTATGTGTATTGGATATGAATGCTCCCTCGTACACATGGTTAGCACATTAAAATGTCACTTTGCAGAATGAAATATAAAGGATTCTTGTAATACTATCTCCATTATACAGTGTTAGATATTTACAAGAATTGGAGATCACATAATGAACACTAAGTAGTTTGATATTATTTATATACATGACAGATTAATATTTGACTGTCTAACTTCTAAATATGACTGAACAGGTTCAGATAAATAAATATACTGAATAATGCCCTGGATACATATCAACATTGTCAATATTTTTGAGAATGTAATTGATTCTTCAATGTAAAAGGGGACATATAAAATAGGCTTTTATAAGCTTTTAAGCATGTGGAACAGCTGGAGGCCTGAGGCTGTAACACATATTAAAACAATGTTCCATGATCAGTAAATTGAATTTTGACCATTTACTGCATGTTTGAGTGATCTTGCATGTCTGAGTAATTGTGTAATGTCTTGAGGCTTGAGTACTGTGAAAATATCTGTTTTCACCTAGCTCCAATCTCCGCCCCCTGTGCAGTACGTACTTACTTACTCTACTTCAAACTCTAGGTTATACACAACAATGCACACATTTCAAATAGCCATTTTTCAATATTGCTGTTTGCAATTAATAAAATAGCTACTCAATACCTGACAAAAGCATAATATGTCTTCTTTAAATACATTTTAAAAATACACTTTGTTCTGGTTCACAGAAATTAAAGATATGTATGGAAAATATTGGTAAATTGGTTTACATAATGAAAAGCATGCAGATTTGCACAGAATGTTACCTCGGAGAGATCCAATCTGCACTGTAGGAATGTTGCTTAGATCTGTAGGTAGCCCCACATAAACACCTCCATAGTTCCTGATCTCACAAAACAGAATGATTATTGCAACGCACATGGATAGCCGATGAGCTGCTGTTACCACTTACTTCCGTTTGTCATCATCTGCAGCAGAATCATCTGACCTGTTCACAAAAGAGCACATTAAAAACATGGTTAAGATACTATAAAAAGAATAGTCTTAATAATCTAGAAAAAAAACAAAACAATAAGGGGGTTCATGTAAAAAATACTTACAGTTTTGATGAACACTCAGGATGACCTGATGAAAGTAATGGCACAAACAAGATCACAGATTGATTGTATTTATCACTTTGTAGGTTATTTGGCTGAACTGCTGCTGTATTATTTCTCTTATAATAAATGGGATATTTTACAATTAAGCAAATGCAAAACCATGATTTTGGCAGTCTTTTGAACATTATAATAGTGCAGTAAAGTACATTTTGACTGGTCATTGGTGGATATTAAACGGCCTATTTTCTATTCTATGTTGTAATGATGTTTCCTAATCAGAAACACACCTGGAGTTGTGTTTTGTTTCATTCACACATGCTTAACATATAAACCCTGTATATTTAGGTTCTTCTCTCAAACAGAAAACACTGTTCCACCTTGTAATGTCATGTGGTAACAGAGGAAGTGCTCCAGTGTGCCTTTGAACTCCATACACCTTCACTAAAATCATTTCAGTAAGTTCAGTCCTGGAATTGCCAATCTCTACTAAACAAAATTTAAAAGGTAGCTGTTGACTTAAAAACTACCACTACCTGACATTATAAAAGCTCACAAGAGTGATTTTTTAAATTTTATTTTATTTTATTTTTGTAATATAGGACTTACACCTTTTGCAAAACAAGATGTAGCAGTACAAGTCAGATGATATACCATTATAGAACGACATAGCTATTAGATTCACCTCACAAATCAACAAAAATAATCAGTTTTTGATTAATTCCACTAAGCAATTTTCTCATTTCTACTACTACAAAAATAAAACTGCCATTTATAGAACAACAGGCTTATTCTCACTCACCTATTTTGCTGCTGCTGTAATTGTGGCTGCTTGTTGTTGAAGTTGGAGAGGAATTTCCGCATCCCATGGTTTGAAAACTTGTTAAAGGTGACGAGAACGTACAACAAGGTGAGGGTCTGTCGTTGTATTGTGAGCTGTGAGCTGGAGGAGAGATTGGGAGTCCAAGGAGCAACAGGAGGGAAGGGAGGTGGAAAGGTGGAGAGAGGGAGGGACCCCTACTGTCAAGGGAGCTGCAGCCCAGTGTGTGTTAATGAGAGAAAGGCTCATGACGCGCTGCTGATCTCACTGTCAGGACCAACCATTTCAATTAGCCAACTATAGCATTAATACACCACAAATATATGAGGCCTATGCAGCTTTAAAAGAACTGCCCGTGCTGATGTTTACTTATAAAATTTAAATAAGTTAATTGTTTTGCTTGTGATATGTAGAAATATGAATACATTTTATCATTAGTTACATTTATTTAGCAGCGATCCAGTTTAAGGACATAATAAGTGCGTATTATTTGAAATTTTTATCAACAACACACGGGGGCACTATTTACACGGTAATTGTAAGAACTCTCATGAACATAAACTAGGCTACAAAAATGAAAGTACCCTGGCTGGGCTACATGAAATTGAAGAACTGAAGCATTTATAGGCAATAAGAAAAAGGTAAATTTCTCAAACATCACTTATAATACTAAGCCATGTTATAATAGCTGAAAGCCAAATACACGTATATTCTTAAAAGTGCACCGCGCCACTTTTTACTTTTTTTGGTGAAGGGTCCGCTACCTACTTGTCCAAGAAAATGTTATTGCTATGTCTGGAATGTTCCATGGTCCATTTAACATATCCGTAGCATTTTTTTTTCGCCTCAAAAATACAATTCCTTCTGTGAATAGGGGCGACTCCACAGATCTGAATTGTAAGGTAGCGTAGTGCTGTAACCTGCTTGTCTCTCTTGTGATAAATGGAAGGTTTAAAGGTTGTGATAAAAAGTTTAATATATACTGTGGAACAGTCTAGACAAAGCTATAACATTTCCATGGAGTCTTAGGTGGCAATGTCTCCACTAGAAATGTTCGACATTGCACCTCTTCCTCTTGAGTTGAGGAGTCCAGATGCTCATGAGAAGTGACTTTTTCTTAATTCCTAAACTAACAGGAACATGATAATAGGTTAACTGGTCAACTCTCATATGGGGCTCTTATTGCCAAAGCATTATGTGTGATGCCCCAGTGTGACTATAGCATTAGGCTGCCTACAGGAAAAGAAAAGAGACGGCAAAACATTTGTAAAAACATAATTTATTGGATAGGTTATCTGTAAATCTATACATTTTGCCCACTTCTCCACTTCTTCAGAAGAGTCACTGATATGGGCATTGCTTCAATTCAGGGAAGCTATTTAAGCCTGAATTTTTCCATTTTTAATTTTACAAACAATCAAAATGATTTGTAATTGTTCTTCTTACATGGACTTTTTTTTTTTTTTTACAAGAATAATTATTGGATAAGCAGTATGTAATGTAAAGAATGGTATAAACCTTTGGAGCTAGATTTGTAAGCTACCAATGAGCATTGTGTGTTTACAAATATTGATATCAGTATAACATTTATCAAACATTTATACCCCAATTCAAAATGTTTGAACTGCTTACAAAAAGAATCGTTCATCAAATTATCTGTAGTCTAAGCTCAGTACCATGGACCTTACAACACTTGCATCTTTTGAAACATTTGTTCCATGTTATTAGTTTTATGGAAATGTGGTGGTTGCATTTGTTTTAGTGTGTCAAACTGGCAGCATCATAATTGGCATCTCACTTATTACAGGAAAAAAATGACAGCAATCCACACAATCCCCCAAAACAAACTTACACAAGAAAGTGAAACCAATTTGAGCTGTCAAGTTGAAAGAAGTCAGGTTTTGTAACATTAACATAGCTGGATGTTTGTGTAGAATGGTTTTAACACGTCACTACCAAGGAAAATGCTATAATTTGTGCATCTATTAATATTTTTGGTGTTTCTATGCATCTTATTTTTGAAAGTTATTAAGGCACTTGTTGGTGACAGGAAGAAGGCAGAAAGTAGTTGATGGGAAGAAAAGAATAGAGAACTCACAACAGTTGTTTGGATGATTAGATATGATTATATGAAATTGCAATCAGTTTATAGTAGTGTTTCCCAAAGACTGGGTTGGACCCTCAGGTGGGTCGCAAGAGATTTTTGTGGGTCGCTTTGTCACGATCTGCATGTAGGTCTGCAATATACAGGGGTACATTTAATGTCCAAATAGGCTACTTATGAATACCTTTTATTGCTGGTTCAATTACTGTTTATTATTGTTTAAAACTTGAGTAATACTAATTGTTCCGAGAGACATGATCCACTCAGTCAACTATAAAATATCTTCATTAATGATCAATAATGGTCAAATCCATCTTTATTTTGTGATTTACGAATAATGTATATTGAATTAGGTCGTGAAGGTTTCTGACTTTTAAAATATGGGTCCCCAGAAAAAAAGTTTGGAAAACACTGGTTATCCAATTAAATGCACCAAGTTTAAGAAGAGTATGTTTCTGCTTATTTTCCAAGATAAAACTCATACAAACATGTTGAAATATGAAAGACAAAACTAACAAAATGGAAGAGATCACCTTGAAGAAAGATTGTGGTGTATTGTTTCATGTGTCATTCATTCAGCATTTAAACCCATTTAAACCAACATATAATTATTCATAATAACTTTGTACCTTTGACTTTCAGTTTTAGTTCACTGTTACAGGCACACACCCCATGATGGACAGATCATAATGTGCCTAATAAGACACTTCATAGAACAGTTAATGTGAGACTCTAAAGAGTCTGGCAGCACTGTCTTCAAAAGACACTTCATTCACTTTCCACATGTCTGCTGGAAACAGAAAATGCTGCTTCAAGATTATGGGCAAAAGTAAAAGGATTAAAAAAGAATCTAAATTTAACAATTAAAATGGTTGGCTGCTCAGAGCCCTTACAGTTTTCACAGCAAGTAAAATGTTCAATAGCAACATAAACAAAAATATATATACTTGATATTCACACAAATGATTGTGGCATGTTGCCTTTAAAAGCAAAAACCCAGTTGGATTATGGTGAATACTATAACTACCCTGTCAAGTGTAATTCTGTGCCTTAACTTAATATAATCAAACTGCAACCAATTTGATATGGAAATAATGAAATACAAATATGCTGTACCCTGAATACACTCATTTGCCAATAAAGTCTCTTGACCCAGAAGTGGCACGTACCATAATTATTTATCACTTTACCTAAGGATTTACCTCATACACTACACATAATTTGAAACAGTTCTATCAAGTTTCAAGAAATGTCCCATTTAAATTGATTGAAGAATATCATAAAATGCTTTATCCAGTCTGATTGCTAACATTATTGTTTGAATACTTACAGGGCACGTCTTCATAATGGGGCAAATTAAAATTTGCGTGTGAATGTCCTCATTGTCAAAACATAGTTTAAAAAGTCTGCCATTAAAATGAATTGCTTCCACAAAGTTTGTCCTCACAGGCCATAGGCACCATGTCTCCTCCATGCATTGTTCTGGAATTAATGCAAAAACCATATTGAGGACGTAAGCGCTTTTTTCACTTACGAAAAGTCATCTTCATCTTAACCCGTTCCAGCTTCATTAAGCTACAGTCTTTCTGTAAAATTGCGCATCAAAAGTGACATCTTGTGATTATGTTTCTCTGCTCAAAATTTTTGAAGAGTTCAGAGGTCAAAGGTCAGTGACTTTATTCTCAAGAGCAGCTGCGATCTGTTGTAGCCGAAGGGTGAGCTGTCTATTCTGAGCAGCGGGGTCTTCATCTAGTGACTCAATGATCTGAAAAAATAACAATACTTTAGAATATGATAGATATAAAAATGTGTTAAGAATCATGACAATGGCTTAATTATTATATAATGACCTTACCACATCGTAGTATTTGCTGGCGTACTGATAGAGGTGATGTAAGGCCACCTGGGTATTCAGCTTGTCTGTGTGTTGCTGTCAATGAAAGATAGAGCGCTATTTTACAACAGTGTACCCTAATATGGGTTTAAAACACTAGTGACTTTCAACCAAACAAACAACTTAAAGATAACACAAAATAATAAGTGTTTTGATGCAAAATGTTTATCAGATTATTAGACATTAAATAAAACAGTCTTACCCTTGACACTTCTGCAAGGTGTGTGTTCATATCCTGGTCACTTACAGGAACCATCTGTCTAATGCCTTTGTAGTAGCTGAAAAAAACAAATGAAGGCATATTTTAATATACAAGTACAATTTTGCACCATTATAAAATATGTCCATTATGTACAACAGACTCACTCATCTACCATCTTCTTATATGTGGAAATTTCTTTTGCATAGAGCAGCTTGTTGCTTGGAGACTCCTAGTGGGTACAAAAGTGGGTACAAAAGTGGTTAAAAGCGGTGTGTGCTCTTTGAACTCACTAATTACAAGTCCCTTGGTTTGAATGTGTCGACAGTCAGATTACATAGGCATTTATGGCCCAAGCTTTTTTTAAACCATACTCGCCTTTCAATATACAAAACTATCAGAATTACATTTAGTCTAATAAAAAAAAAAAAAGACTTTATAAACTTGAGACATATGTAGGTAACAGATTACATACTCTGCTAAGTTTGTGCTCGGACTTGGTGCAGGCATCCATAAAAGTTTGAGCGATTACGTGCAGCGAAGCATCAACCACCTCCGTCACGTGCACGTCGAAGACAAAGTGGGGATTCCTCAAAATGTTCACCCAGAACCGCAGCGGTAAGCTAGACACAAAGATAAGACACAAAAGTAGACTTTAACATGGACAAAGTCTTGGTCAAACTTGTTCAAACTTATGATGGGTAAAATCCTTGAATAAAACCACCAGTAATGTGCTCTAGGGGCTTTGGATTTTTCTAATTCCTGACTTTTTGAGGACTTGCTGACGTTTCCTTTTCCCTCCTTTTGCTCATCCCAGCAGCCTTTCATCTCCTTACGCCGCCTGTCCCCCAAAAGACCATAACCCTTGTCAATAATTCACCACTGCTGCTGAATATTTCATTGTCCAGCCTGTTTGTGTGTGCGTGTATGGACACTCCCAGTGATTGACAGCCTAAGCTCAAGGCTAGCTGGAAAAGAGTTTTTGCATGAATAAAGAAAACTGTGAGGAATCTGTCTTCATTTATCCTTCATTGTCATAAATTATCATGTCATGATAACAAGCCTTTTCATGGGCTCAGCTGCACGCAGTGGAAAATAGTGTGTAATTTTCACTTGGTGCGGTTGATAAGTTAAACAGCCCTTTTTTCTGGCCTATTGTATATATATTGTAATTTGATCTGAGTAAGCTAATTATTTAAGAGAACTATTTAACACCGTTAAACTTCATACAATTCAGTTTTGAGTAATGTGTCTTCTTTAATTCTTTGGCAGTTGATATGCAAAGAACAAGCTATGTTCTTGTTTTTAGACAGGAAAAAAGAGCAGCAGACCTCACAAATCAGTGTTCAGGGGAGCGCGTTGGATGAGTGGGAACAACCCGACAAAGGAGAGGAATTTTTGCCTGAAGAAGGCCACACAGCTGAAATGTTGCACATTATAAATGAACTTTTTGGATTGATGGCGTGCTTGTTTCTAGACAGAAAATACTGTTAAAAGTGTCTCGTTAGAGTTTCTGTCTGTGACGAGCATTTGTATCATTTGTGTCAAGAAGCAAAGTCATTGTGATTCTGCAGCATAACCAAAGTGCATTTAACAATAATTCCCACAGCTAAAATTTAAGATGTCGGTGAGTAATGCTAGGGCAGTAGAGCATATGGAACACTAAACCCAGGAAGGAATCTTGCTAGTGTATTATCTTTACCTGTTGGTCTTCCATATATGTAACGTCTCCTCATCAACATTATCATGTCTGTGTGCTTGTTCATCCAGAAAGTCGAAGAAATACTTCACAGCGGGTGGGACAACTGAACCAGAACAGAGCACACTACGGAAGAAATCGTCCACAAACTGTTGCAGAGTACCCTAAAAACACAGCAATTTTTAACATAAGATTGCAGTAGCATTGGACATTAAAAATAAACATATTATTTCATTAGACTATTATTAGACTTAAATTATGGACAAACCCAAGGAGGTCAGGCTTCACACTCAACCAAATACCACACACCACATCCATACCCACTCATACTTACCGTATTTTTGGGACTATATGTCGCACTTTTTTTCACGGTTTGGGTGGTCCTGCCACTTACACTCCGGTGTGATATATATATTAAAATTTTCATTCTGACAGCCGCGAGAGGGTGCTCTAGGCTTGTGTGTCAGTATCTAGTACTATTATTACTCCTGTACCACCGTCACTTCACTCTACTCCGCACGCCTCGTGTAGAAAAAGCCCGCTGTCCTGCTGCAAATAGTGAAATATGCAGCCAAAAAACGGTAATTGAGCAGCAGAAAGACAATGAGTGAGTAACTTGTGAGGAACTGGCGGAAAGCGGGGATGGAGAACACAGCTTCATGGCAACCAGGAGGGTGCACCATCCAACTTTCCTGGAAGTCATTGGCTGAATCGACAAAGCCTGAACTTCAGTGACAACCGTAACCATTCTGTCAGGATTCAGAAAGGCCCGAATAATTCTAACTGGAACTAATGCTGAGTCTGATGACAGCTACGCAGAAGAGGAAGCAGCGCACCGTTTACATCATGGATCTATGGTTTATCTCCGGAGGTCACGCAGAAGCGACACCAAGGATGAAGAATTCAATGGATTTAGTGATCGTGAGTTTGGCAAACTTATGTTATGTTGTTTATGCTATCATTATCTGAATAACTGTTAATATGTTACGTTAACATATTTAAGCCTATTCAGCCTGTTGTTCTCAGTTCTGTTGTTATTACTAACTTGCCTTTCAAGATGAAATGTCGGTTCTTGGTCTCTGATTTTATAAAATACATTTCCAAGTTCAAGTGCAACTTGCATATGTTTTTTTCTTCTTCATTGCACATTTTTTGGCTGGTGCAACTTATACTGCAGAGCAACTTATAGTCAGGAAAATATGGTAATACAGATCCATAAAGAAATAATTAGTAACAACAACAACAAAAACAACAACAACGAGGGACATAAAAAACACAAATCAAAAATTAAAAGGGTATTAGCAACTCAACAAAAGGCTCAAACCATATCAAAATAAAGGAAACAAGACCTAAACAATAATGGTGATTATTACTATAATATATCTAATACCAGTGATCAAATATTCCTTTTACTATTATGCTCAAGTAATGTGTTATTCACCATGGCAATTATTTTTTCTAGATTGTACTGATTTGAATTATGTTTTTTTTTAAAGTATTCTAAACATAAATTTGATATTGTTGAAGCCTTAAAAATAAAAATCATTCCGAAACAAAATCATTGTACTTAGAAAAGGTGTGAACTTCCTCTCAAAAATGCATATGTTTTTTCTGAGGGAAATTTCAAAATAAATTTCTATTGATTGTATCCAAGATTGAACAGAAATCCAAAACTTGGCAACATAAGGACAAAAATAAAACAGGTGAAACAAGTGTTTCTCTTCCTCCTCAGAGAACTTGCAGTAAGGGTCATTTCCTATCTGCCATTTAGACAATTTTTTTGTTGCAGTAATTTTACAAAAAAAAAAAACATACACACATATATATACACACACACACACACACACACACACATATATATATATATATATATATATACACATACATACACATATATATATATATATATATACATATACACATATTCTCAAAAAAGAGTATAAGAGTACTATTGTTGTATTATAAATAGTTTGAAAGTAACATTTCCATGAGATTTGGGCATTTATTTATTTATTGTATCTTCCCAAAACAAGCAGGCTCTGTGAGGAAAAAGTGAAGCACTAGTTGTATTAAGAGTCCACTTGTAAAGTATTTTGTTTTGTGTGTACCAGTAATAAGTAAGTGTGACTTCTCATTTGTGGAAGATAAACCAAAAGCTTCTTTTTTTTTCAGTTAAATTTTCCAGCTTTTAGGAAGAGTTGAAAGGAATGGCTGAAGTAAGATAAAAACTTGCACTGTCTAAAGATATGTTGTTGTACTTTCTAATAAAATGTTGATGAGAGAATGAGAGAGAAGATTCCCTAATATATCCACAAGATCATTAATGAAAATTTACCAGTTTTTGATACAGTTAACCCACAGCAAAGGTTTGCCGCCAATAACAATATCTGAAATCATCCAAAGCACCTGCATCTGAATACCTTGAATACTGTCCGGGGGGTGGGACTGGCATCTTTAAAGAATGGTGATAATTGGCATGCAATTGATTATTAAAAATGTTATCTACATGTGTTGCTTGCTTTTAATTGGGAATAAATTGTTAGAAAAAAGAAAATCATGAGTATAACCTTTGACTGCGAAGTCATTGTTGATTTAAATACAATCTGACCACCCAAGAGGCTTTTAAGGAACAGTTCATTGCTTGTAGTTAGGTTTTCCATTTTCAAAAGAATTGTATACATATTGTCTTTTAATTTTATGTGGTTTAATATTCCATATAAATTTGAAGATTTTTTTGTTCAAAAAGTTAAAAAAATCTATTGCTGGGGGAGGGGAGAATCATTAATAAATATACAAACTGAAGAATAATCAAAGCATTAACCAGTGTAACCTTACCATGTATTATTAGAGCATTCCCTCTCCAGGGGTGTACAATCAGTTTTTTATATTATATTACATATTATATTCAACTTTTTCTTTAAAGTTTTCAGGAAGATGAATCCCTAGTATATATACTGACTCATTAGTCAGTTTTAGTCAGTTAATTGGAGCTGGGTCATTTAAAATGAAGTTGATACTTTTTAGAGACCCAAGTCTTGACATAATGCACTTCTCAAATTTCATTATTAGACTTTTTGTGCATTTGGTATCCCACCTTAACAGATAGAAGCCTGGTCAGGTAGATTTCAGTAATGGCTTTGGTCATGGCTTTATCCTTCATGCTGCCTCTCTTAGACTTTCCTTCGTCAATTTCATCAGGTGTTCTGACCAGGTGATAGGTGTTGTCATCTTCTAACAGGGAATTTTCTATGAACAACAGACACCAATCGTTGAGTTAAATGTTATACAACGTTTTCTCTTTTTTGATCAAATTTCTAAGTGCTTGTTCACTTACTTTCTTCATAGCTGTCCTGGTGCTGGTGAAATGCCTGTGTGTGCAAAACTCTGGACAGCACCAATGTGGCATTATCTCGAACCTAAAGGACAAGGATTGTTTACTCAGACAACAGGGAATAGACCAACACATCTAGTTTAAATGTCAGATGCAGACAGAGAAGGCTTGATGTTTTTAGTTTTATGTTTTCTACAGCAGGGGTCTCTGGTGGCTCAGCATTTCTCTCCACTTCACAAGTAAAGGTCTGGACTCCAAAACAACCTTGAATGTCTTTCAAGCAATAACATCAGTGAAGAAGTTGATGTAATCAGTTTTAAGATCCATACATTTCAATTGGGTCTAGGCTCATATTTCTGAAATAAAAACTTACATTATAATGAGCCAAAGTGTTGAGTCTCTTCCAGCGCCCTTCTTTCTGTGAGGTCAGGTCAAGGTCAGACAGGATCTGGCCAGTGGAGCCAGGACGCCATTCTGAACAGCAAAAATAAATATAAATGTAGTACAATTAATGCCACCATAAGTGCAACATCACATGAATGTATGCTTGTCAAAATAATAACTATACTGTCTTAATGTTTTATTTACAAAATATATTATATAGCAGTTTTATTTTTGTTTTTGGTAGTAGAGTTGCAGTTGAGCTGCACATAGTTTTGACACTAACTATCTACCCAAGTGGTCCATTTTGCTATCCATTTATTGCAGGTAATTTTTTTTTTAATGTTTGTTAACTGTACATTTAGAACTGATGTTTTGGGGAATTTTTCTGCGTTGTTGTGTCAGTAGCATAGGGTAGTAGTTTTAATATTATCATAGCAATATATAGCAATATTATCATAGCAATATATCACACTTAAAAGTTTGTTATCCGTACAGGCCTACAGTCAACTTAGAAAATCTAATCAGTTCTTTACAATGTATTTAGAGAGCGAGTTTAATGATCTAATACCCTAATATCCTTCCAGCTATTAAGACTGTCCTAATGGCACTGCCATTGCAAAACAAATAAAACTAATTGACAGTAGAGAATCTTTTAATTTTTTACCAAGAGCCACACTCTCCACTTTGGGCCTCTGGGAGTAGGGAAGGTTTCTGTACACCTGATCGATAATCTTCTCCTTCACCTGTAAACCACAAAAACACATTTATCTAAAACAAAGATTCACAAACACTTAAGGCCGATTTCAAAGGAGCTACAAATCTCACAAAAATACATGTACTAATACATATACATTTCTAATAAAAACATTATTTTCTTTACAACCCTATTTTCCTGCAATATATGTAATCTGAGTCAAAATGTATAATGGTCCCCCAGAACCCAGCAGAGCTGAGAAAGACTGAATTTAATGTCATCATACAACAAACCACAAAATACTGAATTTCAGCCCAAAAAACTTTCAAAGCATTGTAAAGCATTGCCACCTACTTATCTCCATGGAGATTTTACTGTTTTTCCTGGTGTGTTCCACACAATTTAACTTTCCTGACTTGCATTTTGAATTACCAGTATTTTTATTACTGATAAAATGACTTAAACATTTTTACTGTGTGTGGGTTCACTGATCCCAGGCTGTGCCTGATCATCAACTACTTGGAACATTCCAGACAATGCTATTAACATCTCCATGAAGTCAAGCAAGCAGCGTACCCTCTACCACAAAAGTTACAAAGTCCACCTTTAAGGCACGTTATGGATCTCAAGCAGGCATTCTGGCTTATTTTCTCAACCGACCTGTGTAATCGTATCACAGTTCAGCACTTTCACAGGAGTCACGTCTGGTCCCTCTCCATGCACCAGCACTTGCAATGTCTGAAAAACAAATATTAATAAGAAGCAAATCATTTTGGAAATTTTAAATACCGTATTTTTCGGAATATACTATACTTTTTTCATGGTTTGGGTGTTTCCTGCGACTTATATATTAAAATTTTCAGATTGACAGCCGTGAGAAGGCACTCTAGGCTTGTGTATCAGTTTTCTGCACATGTCTCCTGCAGAAAAAGCAGTTGTCCTACTGCAAGTAGTGAAATATGCAGCAGAAAACGGTAATCGAGCAGCAGAAAGAAAGTTCGGAGTTAACAAGAAACTTGGGACAGACTGGCAGAAAGCAGGAATGGAGGACAAAGCTTCATGGCAACTGGGCGGGTGCACCATGTAACTTTCCTGGAAGTCATTGGATGGCAAAGCCTGGACTCCAGTGACAACAGAAGCTGCGCGGAGTTGCTCAAAAGTGACACTGACGCCGAGGATGAATAATTCATTGGATTCAATGGATTTAGTGATTTAGAGTGCGATCGAGAGTTTGGTAAACCTGTTATGTTATGTTGTTTATGCTATAGTTATCTGTATAACTGTTAATATGTTAACATATTAATGCCTATTCAGCCTGTTGTTCTTTATTCTATTGTTATTATTACTATAAATTGCCTTTCAAGATGAAATGTCAGTTCCCGATTTTAGAAAATAAATTTCCTCCAAAAAGTGCGACTTATAGTCCAGTGCAACTTATATATGTTTTTCTCTTGTTCTTTATGCATTTTCTGGCTGGTGTGGCTTATAGTCCGGAAAATACAGTATATATTGAAAATAGTTATAAATTACAATTTTACTAACCAAAACAGAGTATTCAACATCGTCACCCAGCAGCCCTGTATCATTCAATGTATACTTGGCTTTCTTCAATTTGGCGTCCACTGGCCCCTTCTCCACTTGGTGTTTTAAGGCCTTGAACAGCTTGTACAATGGCTCTCCTGCAGTATCCTACAACACAAGATATGCAATCCACACTTGTTCATATTAAATTGGTCTATTTTTGGTGGAATAAAGTAGATAGTAATTATAGTGAAAATTAAAATAAGGATCTGAAAAAAGTATTCTTACTCTGAGGAACTGATAGAGACAAATGGACATCCAATTACAAAGCATCCTCTCCACCACAGTCTCTGACCTACAGATTGAACAAAGAAAACACTATGAAGAAAGTCGAAAACACAAATGAACCTTTTTAATGGCATTTTTGCTAACCTCCTGAGCATCAGTTTGGGGTTTTTGTTCTGCACATGTTCATCCATTAGCTCCAGCAGCAGTGTCCGCATGATGTCAGTGTAGTACTCCAATTTTCCATGCAGCGCCACCGTCAGGAGAGAGGCGAAATAGCCACGAGACCTGGCATTGAAGTCAGGGCGGCTCTCCAGAGTGCGGATGAACTGTTGGGGCAAATTCATAAATAATAACATTAAGGAAAGTGAATACATGCTGCTAATGACCAATTAAAAATGCTCATTTCAAAAAATGTACAGTATAGTTATGACAATTGTTTTGATAATAAAGACAGACATCATAAAATAAATTACATGAAGTAGCAAGAACTACAATTTTATGATTTAATTTAAAGTTTTTGTACACCTTCTATAGCTTACAATTGTACTAGCAAACAGGATCTTGGAAGGCAAACATCTGCTATCTTTTCCTTGTTTATCATCTTTCAGAGCTGTTGAAACACGTAAAGCTAAAGCAGTAAACTCACATTGATGAGAAAAGTCTTGCTGTTGAGCAGGTTAGAAAACTGGTTCAGGGCCTGGGACACAATTGCCTTGCGGTTCTCTGGGATCTGGATCTTCCCTGTGATCATGACATCGTTGGCGCCATCTTTAGACGGCAAGAAGAATGTGCGATCTGTGTAGGTTTTGTAGTCAAGGAAGGGGATACGGGCCTCACTCAAATCACTGGTGTTGTCCTCCATTTCAATCATCAGATCTGACACAAAAAATAAAAGTTAATTAACCAACATTAATATCTGCATTTATATGGATCATAAACCATAAATGTTAAATTTAATATAATCTAAATCTCTTGGGGCAAGTCTCTTATGTCTTTACATGTCATGTTCAAAACAGCTGAAAACAACTTCTTGGATTTTAGTTTACACAGTCAGTGCAGAAAGTGAGGGAAAAAAAAAAAAAAGATATGCCTTTACCAATGGAATATTTATCTCTATATGTACGTTTATCTGATGCATACTTTACCTGTGAATTCTTTCTTGCATCGATCTCGCACACTTTCCTCCAGATTTTCCAACTGGTGTTTGACCTTCTCATATTCTCGTTCTGCCTGCTGGCTTTTCCTCCTAAAACAATTAAGCACACATTGTTAAAACTAAATCAAGTCACCCCACATATTCTGAGTAAAGAATGTACCTGTAGCAGTAGACTGAGACTGCAATGAAGAGAAGCATAGGGACAATTACTGCAGGGATGATAATAGCCAGGGGGATGTCATCTTTTCTTGCATAATACACTGAGCCCACCAACCATTCACCATCTCCAAATTTCACCTGGAAATACAGTATTCAAATACGGTATGTTTGAGAAGACACTACAGAGCACTTGGCGGGGATAGGGGGCAGATGAAAACGGAAATACTCTGAGCATTTAAGACTCAAATGCTGGACAAATTACTAAAATAAGCATGAATAAACTAAAATTAATTAGTTAATGGTGAGAGAATGCCATTAAAACATGGCTTAAAAAGTGCATTTCACAATCTTATATACTTACCACAAGTTCGAGCAGGTCGTTGGTTGTGTCTCTGCGTTGGCGTTTGGATTTGGCTCGAGGCTGAGTAGAAGGAGCCTCAAGGATCAACTTATCATCCTGTGGCGAACACATTATTATAAAACATATTCTTTGCTTTGCTGTTTCATTCCATAAGGATTTCACCAGAACAAAAAATAAACAGACTGCATGTTCTCAAATGCCGGGTTGTTTGAATAGCTCAATTGCCTGTTTAGCCTTGCTTTCTAAATGATTGTGAATATACTTTTACTGTGTAAAGCACAATTTTTAATCCCAGAGCAACAAATATTCTTTTAAAATAGGAATGGTTATAATTATCATCAACAGTTTCAATGTAAAAGTACACACACCTGCAGTATATTGACATGACAGGAAGCATCACCAACAAAAGCTTGCGCCTCTTTGGCTGTCATGGCTTTTGAGAAACCACGACCCTGAAAAAAAAAGGAAATTCTAAATAAGGCTAAATGTAAAATTGGTATGGGGTTTAGCGTTAACCACAGGTGTTCATTCTCACAGTGACAATGATGATGCTGGTCTCTGTAATGACGTTCTTGCTGAGTCGGTCAAAGGTGGGGTTCAGGTGATAGTTGAAGTCCTTGAGCTCCTCCACCACATTATCTAGCTGCAGCACAATCCTGATGGACTCCACAGAGCAGTTCACTGCAGGAGAGCTGAAGTGAAGAACACTGTCGTTTTTACTCTTTGCCTCCTGCACAAACTGAAAAACAGAAGAACTGTGAAGTAACAATATAAAAACGTACACACTTAAGATTGATTAATTGACTTAATGCTGACACAAGATCAGTGGGAAAGTAGTTTAAATTAGCTTTTCAAACCTTTATCAAGAGTAGTTTACACAGATGTGAATTAACTGCGGTAAATCAGACAAGCACAGGTGCAGCCTGAGCCGCCTACGAGCTCTTTGTGAGCCTCTTTTGCTACACACTGACACAGTGTTGTGTGAGATAGATGGAAAACGACAGTGCTTTTATTTCTCTGCCAAAGCGTTCTGACTGACACTCTCTCTCTGCAGGGGAGAGGAGGTGAAGCGCTTTATCACCGCTCCATCACAAACTCTGTCTGAAGCAGGAAGACGGAGGAGAGCTCAGTGGGACAGTGGCAAGGCAGAAAAGGATACAGTTCTGCTACAAATCTGGAATCACTTGACTTTAAATATCGTGTTTGGTAGTTTTGCCCACAAATAAACAAACCCAGGAAGATAACCGTCAGCATAACACTGTAATGTTAACGTGTTTGAAGAATGGTATTACCTTTGAAATGGGCCTAACTGCACATTTTACAAAA